AGGGGTTTTGTGAAGAATTTAGAACTATCATTATCTGAAATCATGAGTCAATTGAAGCTAGACCACCATGGAAAACCTGAAAGCACTCGACGGCTGTTTCGTCCGAGTATGAAACTCATCAATAGTGCCCATCCACGATCCCGCCGTCCACTGCTTCCAGGTTTACCATGGTGGTCTCTCTTCAATTGACTTATGATTTCAACTACTGAAATCTAATATGACTTAAATTTTAGCCAATTTTTTCGGGGGTGGGGTGTGGTTGGGGTGTTGTGAACTAATCAATTTGATCACCGCATTCTTTTAGATTTATTTACATAGTTATAAAAGATATACAATTCATACATAGATTTGGCAACTAATTCATAAGGTTATTACATAAATATTCATGATGAACATATTGAAGTTGAACTTATCAGTGAAATCAATAATGATTCTATCTATGATGAACATAATCGTACACCTTACACAGTACAGTGGTTTTAGTCTTTAATCAATTAAACAAAAATATGATAACAGAAGATTATTTTTCAAAGAAAAACTAAAGCTGATAATGATAATAACTCTGTGACCGTTGTAACTAATTATGTAACATTGTGAATGCGTTATAAATAATGATGTACACTTTGATCCTGATAAATAATTGAGTTTTTTTTTTCTGACAATGTTAATCAGTCAGATCATGAATAACTTTGTTCATACTCTGTGGTGCGTGCTACAGATGTCTCTTGATGTAGCCTACTTACATATGCCTGTTACACCTCGGGGAGAAGCATACACTGCCCACTAGCACTCTCCATCCAACCCTAGAATGGGTAATCCTTTACAGTGATTTCAAGTTGATATTCATCCTTTTCATGTTTATTTCCAATTCTCAACTCAACATTTCCCTTCAGGATTCCAAGTTAGTGCTTGCCTCGTAATGCAGTTTAGTGATTTCCGTAATGCATGTCCTATCCACTTCTAATGTCTTTTCTTAGTTTCGTCTTCAGCTGGAAGCTGGCTTGTTCTCTTCCATAGTAAGCTGATGTTGATGGCATCTGGTCAACGGACATTGAGCATCTTGTATAGATGATTGTTTGCAAATACTTGTACTAATTTGATGATGGTTGTGATAATTTTCGAAGTTTCAGCTCTGTATAGTAGAACTGTGTTGACATTCGTATTGGAGTTTATGACTTTGATATTGGTTGATAGACAGTTGTTCTGAGTTCCATATATATTCTTCAATTGTAAGAATGTTGACTTTACTTTTTCAATTCTTACCATCACGTCTGCATCAGATGCTACTTGTTCATCGATGATGTATCCCAGGTACGTGAAATATTCCACATATTCTAGAGATTTTCTATCAAGTGTGATTGAGCTGGTGTTTTCCGTGTTATATTTGAGGATCCTGCTTTTTCATTTGTGTATTTTGAGGCCCATTGATTCAGAGGCTGATGCTACACTAGTTGTCTTCATCTGCACTGTCTATGTAAGTAGTATGCAATAACAGTCAGAAGTAGAATGCTTGTCAAAAGACGGTTGAGAAGGTTAAACTAAAGATAATATGAAAGGAAACATCACGGAATTGTGAATGAGTTATTTAATGTATGATTATCACATTTTACGAAAGCACTCCGCAATTTTGCATTAAGTAACAAATTAGTTTTTCCTACCTGAGTATTAACTCACAACAACTCCATTGTCAATTTCAAAAATTTAAAATTTAGTAAACATCACCTAGACAGTGAATAAGATGTAAAAACAACATGATAGACAACACAGATATAATACTTCCATCAATAGAGGTGATTGAAATTCAACCTCGTTTTGAATCAAATTTATTTCAATCGTTGAGATCATGAGTCAATTGAAGCTAGACCATCATGGAAACCTGGAAACACTGGACGGTTGTTTCGTCCTAGTATGGGGATTCTCAGTCGTGCGCATCCACGACCTCGCTTCACAGGATTCGAATCCAGGACCTTCCAGTTGAAGTGAGAAATTAACACCGTTGGATACCGACCAGCTCAGTAGTCTAGCGGTTAAGCGCTAGCATGAGAGACTGTTAGGTACTGGGTTCAAATCTCGCGAGGAGGATTCGTGAATGCACACTGCTGAGCAGTCCCACAATAAGACAAAATTACCATCTTGTGTTTCAAGGTTTTCCATGGTGATCTATCATCGACTGAATCATTATCTCAACTTTTGAAATTATTATAATATCCACAAATAACCCCTTTTTGATATGAAGTACTTTTCAAACATTGAAAAATTGTAGTTTATATTTGATTGATTAGATTATAAGTTTAATCCTTAGATAGAAAAGATGATCATTTTATCTAAACTAAAGTACAATCAAGATATAATCTCATGTCTATTCACTTTAAGTGTTTACTCTTTTCAATTTAGATAAATTTTGTCTTAAAAAAAGAAAAGAAAAAAGAAAAAAAGATAAGAGAAGAAAAAAATGACACAACGATATAGATCTGTTAAATTATCGATTATATTAAAATAAAGTAATGTACTTCCAGAATTCTCTACTTTTTTTTCTTTCTTTTATAAGATGCTGGTTGTCATCCACATATATCTATATCTATCTCTATACCTAGATAGATTCAAACTGTTCCGTAACCTATTATTAAGTCTAATTCTAAGTATACAATTTAACTAAGTTTCATTACCAACCAACCAACCAATCAATCAGTCGATCAATCAATTATTATAGAAACAAATTTTACTGATCTACAACTGTGCATTGATCTTGACATCGTGTTAAAAAGAAGCCAAAACAACAACAACAACACCCCATGAGTTAAAATTAAAGATAAATTTTTTTGGTGTGTAAAAACAAAACTTCTGAATTGATTAGAATCTTAAAATGTTTTTTTTTTCGTTTATTGTTTTATAACTATGGTATAGTATCTTAGATAGTTGACTGATTAGAAATAACCTATTATGAAACATTAGGGTAGTTGCTTTTTGTTTTGTTGTTGTTGTTGTAACATAGTCGATGTTTGTAAGTTTCAGATGAAGTTTTGTGAAGATTGTAGTAATTTCAATAGTTGAGTTTATGAGTTGCTCAATTTTGTGGTTTAGTAAGTTAATAAAGTGAATAATTATAGTTTATTTATGATGTTCACATGTAAGTGAAGTAGATGTTAATAATACGGTAAACATTGTTTCTTTTTTAAAAAACCTAGTCTAATTTATTACATTGATATTATGAATGGGACAATGTTAGATCACCAATGAAAACTTGGAAAGTACTGGATGACTGTTTCGTTTAGTATAGGATTCTACAGTAACGTTCTATTTATGATATCTGTCTAAACTTAATGGTCTCTACAAATTCATATACTGATAACGATCATGTACTTACTAGTAACTAGATTCAAGATGTAACTGCTGGAGTTCTAGTGAGAAGCCATGACTAGTGGAGTCCAATCCATGTCAGATGTGAGATAGTTATCCATCTCAGACAATACATAAAGATTGTATAAGTTAATGGATAGATTGAAGTTAGAAATTAACATCATTGGATGCCAACTCATTGGTCTAGATGTTGAGCATTCACGCACTAGAATGATGGTCCTGGATTGGAGTCTCACATGTGGGATCGTGAACATGCAGTTCTCAGGAGTCTCATACTGGAACGAAAAGGCCATACAGTAGTCTAAGGTTTTCAATGATGATTGAGCATAGATCGACTCATGATTTCAACTTTCAAAAAGGCTACAATCTCCACAAATCACCCTAGTAACAACAATATTTACTACCTGATAAGTTTCTCTCTGACAAGATAATATAAAGAAAATTGTCGACTTTTAAGGTATTTCAATATAAGCCTCAAACAAAAATTAAACTGTGATAATTTTGTTCTCTTGAACTGAAACGTCGCTAACAACAATTGATTACTAGACAGTATAATATGTCCTACTTCATGCATATAAGTCCTGAATAGTTTCGGTGATTAGTTCGACATTTCTGAAGACTTTCAATCTAAGACGTATTATTCATTTTGTACTTCGTAGTTTTCGGATAATTCCTCAGCTATCATTACTTAGTGCTGATATTTCAAATAAAGTTTAAAAACATCATTTCATGATAACTCAACAATGTGATAAGTATCAGCTTAATAAAAAGAACATATCAGTAAGATATATTGGTTTTTTCAATCTTCACATTACATCATAAAAGATGATAGTTGTTTACAATGATGAAACCGATTTCCATTCTCTTCTTTAAAACAAACAAACAAACAAGCAAAAGAAAACAATCATGATGACAGTAAACTGTTGTTTTTTAGTATCTGTGAGAGTTTAATATAAATAATAAAGAGGATAAGAAAAGCAAACCTTCTTTAGTTCATTTAGATATTTCGAAATATCACTTAAACAGTGTTCACTTGCTTATGAATAAAGTTTTCCAAAAAAAAAAGAAGAAAAAATGGACGATCAACCACAATAGAGTGAACCAGTATTTGTTTCAAACCATTTAAATATAATGAAAACAGTAACAAAAAATGGAAAAAAAAACACCAACAGAAACTAGAACAAATGCCACTTCTTTTTTAAAGAAAAAACTTCACTAATTAATGAAGTGAAAAAAAAGAAAGAGCGAAAAACAAACCGGTCTATTATAATGTACAATGTTCAATTAACACATTTGTATTTGTTTTAATCATAAGAGTAAATAATTCATCACATACATACATACATACCAACATACCTGCGTACATACATAGGGATATACATAATTAATTTGGTCAACTTACTAAACTGTTTATATATATGTAGATAGATAGATATCCATTTTGTTCATATACTCAGAATATTCAATGTTCAATGATGTAAAATCTTGTTTTTTGTCTGTCTGTTTGTTTGTTTGTTTTAATGAAGTGAATATTCATTTATATGATATTGAATAATGAATCTAATTTAAATTGTGTTTATATAATCTGAAACAGATTTATTTTTAAGTAATAAAGGCACATTAATGTTTAACCTTAATTCCTCTCACACATGAGCTGGTTTACGTATAACACTAATAGATGGTTCATTAATATGATTAAAATTATTCGATTTTAATAAATCTGAATTTGTTTCTTCTATATCCATATTAGAAATAGTTTTCATTTCATTATATTGTAATTCGGTTGGATAACGATGTACTATAGTAGTAAAATTTGGTGTATATTGAAAAGAGATTAAATCATCCGGTTTACTTGATAAATGATCATCATGTTTTATAGACTGATGAAGTTGCTGCTGCTGTTGTTGAACTATCGGAATTGGACGGTTATTAGATAATGATGTATTAAGATCGTTTTGTTGTTGTTGTTTAATTGTTTGTGATGGATTTTGATGTGATTTTTTAATTTGATACAATAATTTCTTACGTGTACTATCACCATAACAAACACTATTACGTGAATATCTACCTAATGAACCAGTACGTGTAAAACCATTTTTTCCATCAGAATTATTTGAAGGTGCTGGACTCACTGAACCATTTTGACATTGTAATAATAAACCACGTTGAGTTGAACTAATTGAACCATGTGATGGTATTGGATAAATTGTAATTAAACCAGAATTATCATTATATGATGCAATAGGTGCACCAGTCATTGGATAACCTGATATTTGTGCATATTGTGTATTTAATGCTGAATAAGAAATAGGAATATTTTGTAAACCATTTTGTGGATCACATGTACTTATATTACTTCCTGTCATTACAATATTATTCATACTAGCAGTTTCACTTGGTATATGTGTTATACCATAATGTCTTGGTGATTGATCTGTTATAAATAATGGTGATACTTGACTCATATTAACTTTACCATTCATTTGACAAAATGGTGTCGGTGATGGATGTGATTCTTTACAAATACTAGCTTGAGATGAACGTATTATACGTTTTTTAAAATAATGTGGATTTTGTCTAAGACGTATACATAAAGTTAATGAAGTCATTGCAAATACTACACACATAAAACTAATTAAAGCACATGCAACACGTGATATAACTAATTGCATATATAATTCCCGATTTTGTCGTTCAGCTTTAGTTAATGCTACAACATTCGTTCCAATAACGATACTATATTATCTTGTTTTGATATATTTATATTTAGATCATTTATATTAGATGGACATTGTTTACGTAAACAAAGAACATGTTGCGGTGTTAACACTAAATGTTCCGATGCTAATGGATTAATTAATTCCAATTTTAATTGTTTATCTGGACGTAGTACAACCATTAAATTTAAATCACCAACACGATCAGCAAGAAAAAAATATCTTGGATCATTAGCTAATTGGTTTGATTGACCAATACCAATGACTTCAGCACGTATTAATAAATCTAAACGTTCTAAATCAATTAATGATGCTGACCATTCATGATTAATATGTTTAAGTCTTTTTCAGCTTGATTTAAATCTTCATTATTATTTAAATAACCATTAGATGATAATGATGATGATGATGATGATATAGGTATTATTTCACCATTTAATAATTGTAATCGTTTACATGCTGTTGCATGACCATATGCATCTAAACTTGATGTTGGCGGTGATGTTAACCATGCATAAGTAATATTACATTGTCCTAAACGTCTTAAACCAGCTTGTCCTAATATTGTATAAGAATCAGCTGGTAATAAACGTCTTGAACGTAATGATGAATATAATTTATTTTGTCCATTCACATAATATATCAATGATGTAATAATTAGAAATAGATAAAATTCATTGAAATACATTATTGATCGATTAATTGATTGATTGATTGTTTTAATTAAAATTTCAATGTTTGTTTCCACATAGTTACTAAATTGTTTTTTTTCTTTTTCCACAGCAACAAAAAAATTAAAAGAGAAAATTTACATAGAATCCATATAGTAAACAATCTTGATCCATTCTATTCAAATGGTTACTATGTTCATTTATTTTTAATATTGTACACATATTACTAATTTCATCATATTAGAATAAATTATTTTTAGATTATTTTTTTAGACAAATATATTTCATTGCTTCATTTTGATTGGCTAATTGAATTTGGTGAAGCAAAAAACGGAATCTAACAATTTGATTGGTTAATACATTTTAAACCAAAAAAACAGAGGAGGCACAAAATGTTGATTTGTGTACATTGAATAAAAATTTTTTGTTTTTTTTCGTTAATGATTTGATAATCATTTTAAGAGAGAAAGAGATAGGAATAAAAGAAGAAAATTTATATTCACTTGGTGTTGTTTTACTTGTATCTGTAATGGCTCAGTCTCATATTTGGTTTATGTGAATCTTGTGTGGATTGCCTCGATATAACCTTAAGTCACAAGCATTTTAAGCAAAGATGAATAGTGACTAGAAGTGAATCCAGTTTGACGCATGTTTCATCTTGTTTGAGACTTGTCAACTGGATGTACTTGCATCGTAGAGATGATGTGTACTCCAGGACTCGAACTTAATAGATAAGTGAATAACACGATGGAGTTTGAAGCGGACGGTACTAGGTTCGTGTTCCGGAGTGAACATCAACTCTACGATGTGGGTACATCCAGCTGATGAGTCCCAAGTAGGATGAAACACAAGTCCTGGATTCTACTGCTAACCACTATCCAACTTTGCTTAAAAGAAGAATTTAGTTTTAAGAAAAAAATGATATAATGAAATATTGTAATATACTAATGTAGTGAACAAGAATATACAACTGAGGAAATCGATTGTATTTGAATATAACATTATAGAAGGTCTTAGTAAAATCTGAGAAGCATTTGTAAACTGTCAATCAATTATCTCAGACTTTGTTGTTTCTTCGTTTCCATACCAATCATTCTCTGTTCTCATGCTCTTCTCTTCAATGTTCTTAATCTTCTGCTGCCAGACATTTCACGTTCAATTGATGATACATACTATTTATATTTATCGATATTAGTAGCACACACTATACTAGTTTATAGATTTTGATGAAAGAAAATCAATTTTAGTATGGTTAGTATATAATTAGTAGTGGAATGAAAGATTCACGTTTTGTCTTATTTAAGCTTTGTTGTACAGTATTACCTAGATCTCATTATTAATCTTCAATACCATGAGATTAGAACCTAGTACCTATCGTTTTAAATGCCAACAAACTGTAAACAAGTAGGATTAACATGCGTCTTGGATTTAACTGCCAATTACTGAGTAAATGTACCAAAAAAAATTGTTGAAAGAATAGAATTTACTCATGATGTATATACAATAACTGAAACTGATCAATTGCAGTACTGAATATCAGTAATCTTAAGTTAAATGACATTATTACAAGGTAAGCATTAATTTGTTGTGATGTCACTGATGCGATTATATGTAAGGCTGAAATAGCATATTTCATAGGGATTGAATTCGTATAGAAAGTTGGGATAAGTAAACAGTGTGCTGGATAGGTGATTTCATACACTATGTGAAGAACGTTCCAATCAGACAAGATAAACAGGAGAGATCACATTGTTTCTTAATTCAGTATAGTTGTTGCTGAGTGTTATTTCACTTTTTAATTCTGTATGATAACTGTCTTATTTTCAGTATGATTGTTATTCTTTGCATTGAATTAACATGAACTATGTGTTTTAGTGTCCCAAGATCTGACTCCAATTAGATCGTACGAATGATATGAGCTTCACATAGGGTCAGCCACTACATGTTCAGCATGATATTGAAATGATGGTTTTGTTATAATTTCATACATACGACTTTTTTTCTAATCAACAATCAAACAGGGGTATAAATCAACTAAGATCATTGTGTTTTTGGAATGAATCAATCTTCGTTCATACCAGGGTTCTGTGTTCTGTGTAGTGATTCCTCTTTTTCAAGTATAAGTAATAGGCGACCTGATTATAGTGATTAATTAATCATCATACTTATAAAAAGTGATTTGTCGTGAACAAGGATGGAATATAGCACTTGTTAAAGTATGAGAACAAACCAGCATCCAGCTAAATGTTAATTAGGAAAATACGATAGAAATGGATAGGACATACATTACACAAATCATCAAACTGTATAACGAAACGAGACTCACTTGGAATCCTGAAGTGAAGCGGAAAATTGGAAGGCCAAAGAGCATATTACATTGGGAAAGAGAAGCAGATATGAAAAGAGTGAATAATAACTGAAAAGAACTGGAAAGGATTGTCCAGCACAGGGTTTGATGGAGAGTGCTGATGAGCGGCCTATGCTCCTCCATAAGGAGTAACAGGCGTAAGTAAATAGGTAAGTATCAGTTTCTCATCTTGATTATTTATACATGGATTACATAATTAACCAACAGTTTTTGATAACTCAATAAAATCAACCATGTTTAGATAAACTAGTCAAAAACTCTATAAACTAGATTCAGTACATAGTAAGATTTATTTTATGTTAGTTTGTTTTAGAAAACAATACAAATAAGGTCACTAATAGGATACAAATTTGATAATCAAGTTCTAGGTTGAAAATCACTTAACATGGTCTGTACTTAATTGTAAGTACAAAATCTCAATGATTTGTTATTTTAACATGTCATTCAATAGTAAGCGGTATATCTTAATATATGGTAATTATAAATGAGAATGGCGAGTTTATGGAGATTGTAGTAATTTGAGTGGTTGGATTCATGAATTGATTTAAGCTAGACCACTATGAAAAACCTGGAAGAATTAGACAACCGTTTCGTTCTAGGATGGGACACTTCATCAGTGTGTATCCATGATCCTATACGCTAGATCTGAACCCAGGACTTTCAGTCTCACGTGTGAACGCTACACCACCTTAGTCAAATCATTTAGCAGTTAGGTCACTAAATATCGAACAGTTCATCAATTCACTTCAAGGCCAAGGATAACCAACACACATCAGTTAATCGTATACCGTGGACTGACCCATGTGGTGGTGGTCTCATTATCTTCTCTGTACTCGTTCTTACTAATATATTTCCGTAATAACGTCCTTTGTGTTATACAGTCTTTAAAGCAGCCATAGTACCATGATACGCCAAAGGAGTAAACCACATTAGGTGTTGATCGTGAGGTGTAACTTCGAAGTTGAACTCTAGTAGGCCCCCAATCATTCGACATAGATTATTTACGTTAGTTATTAACTAACTTAATATTATAACCAGTATTTTCAATATGAATATTACACTTAAAATAGTTTATTAAAATGAAAAGAGAATAGTATCAATAATCTTAAATCAATCAATCAAGTAATAGTGTAAATATTTTGGTGACCTTTATTTGAAAGTAGTATGTAAAGAACAAGGTCATTCAATGATGAATTATTAAAACAACAAACGTTCAATGTGATTGTTGTTTATAAGATGTACATTTAATAAAGTATTATGTAATAGGCTTTGTAACACTAATATATGTGGTATGCATAGACAGATCGATGTAAATTCTGTATACTATATCTTAGAAGATAATTTTGTTCACTATTTTATGATCAGTAATGTGTTCTTTATTGATACGTTTTCCATAAAGTGTTTTTGTATGTTTTGAATTGTCATTTTAAAGTTATTTAATAGTTGAAATCATGAGTCAATTGAAACTACACCACCATGGAAAACTTGGAAGCACTGGACGGCCATTTCTTCCTATTGTGGGACTTATCAGAATTGAGCATCTACGAACCTGCCTCGTGGGATTCGAACCCAGAACCTATTAGTCCCATGCGCGTACGCTTAATCTCTAGACGATTGAGCTGGCATCCAACGGTGTAATGACGGTTAGTGATCGTTCTGATTATGACCATTTTTATGAATGTTATTTATCTCATCAAACTATTTTAGTGACCTCTTATTAAATATTGAGTCATGTACTGTTTTTGATAACAAAATGGTTAATTAAAATAACCCAATGTGTCATTGCATCAACATAAAAAAAAGAGAATTCAGCGAAGAAAGTTTTTTCTTCTCGACGAAATCACTTACTTAAGCTGAACATTCGTGTTGTTTTATTTCTGTTATCCATAATGGAACATAGGCCGCCGACCAGCATTCTCCAACCCACTCTGTCCTTCACCTTCTTTCCTACTTCTATCCAACTGTTGTTCATTCTTCACATGTCTGTCTCCATTTCTCGGTGTAATATGTTCTTTGGTCTTCCTCTTCTCCTTTGGCCTTGAGGAGTCCAAGTGATGAGGGTTTGCCTTGTGGCGCAGTAGGGTGCTTTCCTCAATGTATATCCTATCCACATGCAGCGCTTCTTCCTGGAAGTATAGTTATAGGGAAAATATATGTCTATAGAAGGATTGAAAAGATTGCATCATAAATGTTTTAAAGATAAACTTCCGATTTGGAGCACATCACTATGCATCTATAATTTATTTGCTCATATGGGGCAGGTTACATTGTCCGCACAGATATATCATTTTCCAAACGCACCTCAGAACACTAACCGGCATAGTTTTTAACAGGAGAATGCAAAACAATTACTAGTTCAATGTAGGAGCATTTAATCAACTATGGTCATATCGCTACAAATGAGTCTTCTTTTAAAATATCTACACAGTCATAGGAATTGGTTCGAATGGAGGTCGAATCAAAATCTTATGCATTGCTGAGACATTGGCAATACACCAACCTTGCGTGCAAAAACGATTTGTCCAACCTCTCATCCTCCCTTGGCCATAATTCCTTTTTGTAGTATGTTTAGGGTTTTTCATTATTATTATTATTGATTGATTGATTGATTGTTTTGTCATTCTAAACTGTAATTAGCTGTAATTATTG